TTGAAATGTATATAATATTTTAACGACAGTGCATAATTCAAAGGATTTCATAAATTACCCTACTGACATCCCAAGTAGGTCACCTATATACCCCATCAGTGTCCTCCCTATCGGCGTCCTAGATAGGTCCACTTAATCCCTGCAGGTCCACTTATACCTCACCGGTGTACCGGATGAGTCCACTTAATCCCTACCAGCGTACCGGATAGGTCCACTTATACCTCACCGGCAAACCGGATGAGTCCACTTGCATACTTAAAGTATTTCTAAATCTCTTTAAACATTCGAAAGCAGCAATATCATGTACTCAACATATCACTGAAATTATTAATATGAATTTCATTGAAACCATTAATAACAATCACTTTCAATAACATTTAAAAAATAACCAGTCAAATATTTTGGGTTCAAATTTAGAAAGGTAGCAGTTCGTAAAGACATTATAGCATAATTGCCAATCTAATATGTATAGAAAAACTCTTATAGAAATTCAAGAATACGAAATTATCACAATTTATGGGATGTTAATTAGCAAATAAAAATTTCACAGATAATGCTATAATCAATTGCAAAAATATCAGTTTTCAAATAATAGGGCAGTCATTTGCACATGAAATTTGAAAAGTCTAAATATTCAAAAACAAAGTCTAAATATTAAAAAACAGTAGAAAGAAATCTCACAATTTTACTAAAAGCAGAAATATCACCTTTATTTTTAATAATTTTACAGTATCTAAAATTTTCTAACAATAGACAAGAAAAATAAAAGAATTTACAACATTTAAGATTTTTAACATAGATAAAATATCACAATTTTATTAAAAAGATTATTTTTCAAAATAATGAGGTCACTTGCGCATAAAATTTATCGCGCTTAAAATTCATGATAATAAGCAGAAGTAATTATTTCATTTCATTTTAAAAGAACGGATTATTTTTCAAGACAATGAAGTCACTTACTTAAAATATTTGAGAGGGAGCTTCCGATAAAAATTCGGCTAAAGAGAGAGAGAGCTCACTGCGTTTCGACTAGAGAGAGAAAGATTTCAAAAATTTTCTAGGGTGGGAGTCCTCGCCTCTCCTATTTAAATTCTTAAGATACTTTATTACATTATCTTATTAAGTTGCACCTCATACATGAGGTGTAACAATTATATTACACCTGAACGTTTAAAGCCCACATTCACTAAAGGACGTGGCAAGGCAGCAAAAACTTAAACCAAAAGCTTTTGAAAGTAGTGATGGTCCTTAATGACCATCATGCTCATATGGACCATCACTTATTAAAAGTTTCCTTTTTTTTTGAAATTTTAGGATTATTACATTTTTTTCTGTGTCAATCGAGTCAATGGGGTTGCAATTTGAGAAAATCCTTCTATAAATTTTATGTAATATTCTGCCAATCTCAAGAAGCTTCGAACTTCAGTCACATTACTTGGTTGTTTCCAATTAACAACGGCTTCAACCATTGAAGGATCAACTGATAGACCTTCCTTTGATATGACATGTCCTAAAAATGTCACTTGTTCATGCTAAAATTCACATTTACTAAGTTTGGCATACAATATATTTTCTCTTAATATTTGCAATACCATTCATACATGCTGCTCATGTTTCTTCTGATTCTTGCAATAAATTAAAATATCATCAATGAATACCACAATACTGATATTCCTGAGATGTGACAGTCAAAACATATATACATCTCTTGATAGGACAAATTTACAGTGGCGAATTCTTACAAAGTAACGAAAGAAAGTTTAAGCACGATTACAATATCTTCCAGAGTTGATCATGACGAGCACTCAAAATGAAACCGCAGTTATCTTGAAAAAAATGTTTACCATAATTTGATGAGTTTGGTTACTCAGTAAGTGATCATCATAATCCTAAAAATAATCATGGTTGAAAGATATTAATATTTTCAAAAAGGAGATCTATTAACAGAAATGC